TGTCAAAGATAAGACACTTAGTGTTTTGACTTCAAAATCTGAACTTTTAGGCAATAAAAATATCTCTAACAATTATAAGAAGACAAAAAGGCAAAAAGTTGTGACCACTGAGTCATTTAAGATTTAAAATCCTCTTGTTCCTAATAAGTTTCTTGAAGCTTTTTATTCTGATCAGTTTACATGTATTTTTTCAGGCTACTTAAAGAAATTCCATTAGCCTGAGACATTCAACCAGAAAACTAGCTTGTAAAATATATATGCAGAAAATAAGAAAAAAATTTCCCTTTTAAAAGATAACAACTGACATCATCTCACATATAATGAAAACTGTACGTGAACTTTCAGAGGTTTGTATTCTATTTAATGACTTTTCAAGGAAGAGAACCAGGCTTAGTTGCTCCTTTTGTATAATGATAAATGCATCTAGACAGAATCTGAATTAATCTTATCCTTTACAACCAGTGTATGTAAATTGATACAACCAGTGTATGTAAATTGATGCACATGTGAATATAGTGATAATTTCTCAGCTTTAAAAATTTGAAAACTCAAATTACATACATTTAAAAATAGTGTCTGAACAGCAGTAGATAAGTGAATTACTGTATTAATTTAGTTTTTTTTCTAATACAAATATTTGAGTGATGTTTATATACCAGGCATTATATAGCAAGCACTAAGGAATACAGCAATTAAATGAGACAAAAATTCCTCTCCCATGAAGCTTCCCTTTTGGTGGGCAATGTGGACAACAAGAACAAAAAATGTATGATTTATGGCAAGAAATAATTGTTTTGGAGAACTATAAAGCAGCAGAAGAGTATAGTGATTAAGACAGAACGATTACAGATAGAAATCTGGCCAAGAAAATAATAGAGATAGGAATGAAGTGAGAAGATTATTATTTAAATTTCATAATGGCAACTCTGAATTGTCAAAAAATATTAAAAGGATATATACAGCATCATCATTCTTTACATTTAATGGAAACTTAAGAGTTTAACCCCTTAATTTTATAGAGGTATGATCTGCTTCAAATAAGCAATATAGGAGAAGCATGACTAAAACCTATAAAGAAGTATCATTCAGTTTAAGGAGGAAGAAATCTAGGTTATAACTTTTACAAACAGTTCTAGTGACATGGCTAAAATTTGAAAGCTACTACATTACAAATTAAGGTTAAATTTACTGTAAGATGCTAATATAAAACAGCTCCTCTAAAGACAAGGGGGAAAGCATTGTTCTCAAAATATTAAGTAGCTTTCAAATGTAGTTATCTCAGAGTAATAGCATGGGGGAGGAGTATGAATTTCAAATAAGACCTGAAGATTTCAAGTTGACTGAAGAATCTTTGAAGGCATGTTTAATAAACTTCAGCTTCATAAGTATAGCTACTACAGAATGCTACAGTGTTTATAAAAATAAGCATTACTTTAATGTATTTCCTTATCTAAATATGACACTTATGAAAGTATAGTTTTCATAACTACCTTAAAAACCAGACTTTAATTATATCAATAAGAGATTACATAGTAATATGATTTATTAAATGAAGAGTTTGAGAGGATTTGCATTATGGGAAAAAAATCTTATAAAGAAAGTTGCAGTAATTGGAAGAGTTGGTCTGAAGAGATTTGAAGTAGAAAATATTTGATTGAGCTCTCCCCCTAGTGGAATCTGAAAATGATTTAAGATATTTCCATGACTAAGAATTTTATTCTTCTTCTAACTGAAAAAGGAGTTTCAGATTTTCTTCTAACAAAAATGTGTTATTCTTCTAACTGAAAAAGGAGTTTCAGATTTTAACAAAAGATTTATTTATTTATGGATTTATTCATGAATTTTAATCTGCATGCAATAAATAAAGGAATGAAAATTGAAGATGTTTACTGAAAACACATTTATTTAATGTATTAACAGCAAGCTACCCAAGGAGAATTCAGTAAGCAGAAATACCTTAAAAGCAGAGAACTAGGAGGTCCAGAAAAATACAGGCACTTCACAACAGAGGAAGCCAAATGGGCAAACTCATTATTAATCAGGTAGATGGAAATTAAAATCACAATGAAATATCACTGCATACCCACCAGTTTGGCATAAATTAAAACATTTGACATCACCAAGTGTTGGGGAGGATGTGGAATAACAACTTTCATGTGCTGCTGTTTGGAGTTTAAACAGGTAGAAGCACTTTGGAAAATAAAGTAGATCTGCGTCTTTTATGACCCAGCCCTTCCACACCCTGTTATACATGCATGAGACACTTGTGTACATGTGACCAGCAGAGTGCACAAGATTGCTCGTAATCACAGTAATATTCATAATAGTAACAATTTGGAAATTCCCAAATGACCACTAATGTTAGAATGGATATATATATTTTGATATATTCATAAAATGGAAATTGTATCATAAAAACAGTAACTCTTATTAAAATGTTTAACAAAGAACGACGAAAATGTAAATATTCAATATGACTCTATACAAAATTCAGAAATGGAAAGCTAAACTGTATGGATCAGAGGTGCATATAAAGATGACACAACTGTAAGGAAAAGCAAAGGAATGATTAATGCCAAACTGAGGATATGGGGAGAGGGTCTATTGGGGAGACTTCTGCGTTCATGCAATATTTTCTATCTTGACTTGAGCAGTGGTTATATGGGTAATATTTTTATACATATTATAATGTAGCTTTGTTTTACAAACTTCTCTCTATACTGTGTTAATAATTTTTAAAAATAATTTTCTTAAAAGGTTTTAAAAAGTGTTGGTTAGAGGTGGAGATACACTAGGATTCATTATTGTAAAGATAGTTCCTAAAGCCAGGTAAATTAGACCCTTCATTTGAGTACAGTTTTTAAAAAGCCAAACACTTGGTTTTTAGAGGAATACAATCATTCAGAACTGATAAAGAAGTCTGAAAACAATAGCTCAACAAGAAATAGAGAGTCAAAGGCAGTGGTGTCAGGAAGTGAAGGGAGGAGACAATTGCAAGAGGATGGTATGCCTAGGACGAAAAATGAGATAAGCTTGAGCAAGATAAATACTAAAAAAATACTAATGCTTTTGGTAATCAGAATTCCAGTGATCACTTAATACAGCAACATTTGATGCTAACATACTCCATTTGGTAGTAAAAATTTCATACATTTTCTTTCCTATTTTTCAAACATGATATAACACAATTTCATTTTAAACAATATGTGCATATTAGGCTCTTCATTTTAACAAGTGTTTCAGAATTAACAGAAAGTGATTGAAATTTTTCTATCTGTGATTAAGGTGTGTAGAAATACAGCAAAATTTAAAAATTTCTTGATGTTAGAAAATTACAGACTAAAACTAGAATTACATATGACAGCATGATTTAAATAGCTGATTGCAAATATATTATGCAGTTGGTTCACGTCCAAAGTTTTTCTAAATATGTCTACTTTATGAGGAACAGTATCAACAGAACATAAAGGAGACCTTCTTATACGCTTGTACAAATCATAATGTGGTGTAATTACTTTTGACCTAGATGAAAAGATGACGTTCTGGCATGTAAGGCTTAGAAATTAGCTGAATTTTGAATTGAAACCTAAAAACTGAAGGATACTTTGGGTTAGAAGAAAATTCTACATGTTGTGGCAAAAACTGCATTATGGCTTGGAATAGAATATAATAAAAAACTTTGAAAGAAATAAGATTTTAAACAGAATACTTTGCCCATATTGGAAACTTACTACCTTATATTGTATAAGAAAGAAGTAGGACCTAAGTGACAAAACACATTTATTTTTAAAGCTTTGAATACTTCTGAAAATAGCTTTGATAATATAGTAATCTGATAAATTGTCATTCAAAAATGGATTTGAAGCACAGTAAACAAAAGAAAAAATTCAACAAAAATAAAAAATGTGTGCATCACAGGACAATAACAACAGAGCAAAAAGGCAACCCATGGAATGGGAGAAAATATTTGCAAGCCATATATTTGGTAAGGGACTGACTGAGAATATACAAGGAACTTTCACAACTTAACAACAACCTGATTAAAAATTGGGCAAAGGTCTTGAATAGACATTTCTAGAAAGAAGACAGACAAATGGCAAATAAACACATGAAAAAAATGCTCAAGATCACTAATCATTAGGGAAATGCATATCAACCCCACAGTGGGATACCATTTCACATCCATTAGGATGGCATTATAAAATAAAAACAAACAGAAAATTAACAAGTGTTGGTGAAGATGTAGAGAAATAGGAACCCTTGTGCATTGCTGGTGAGAATGTGTAATGGTGCAGCTGCTGTGGAAAACAGTATAGTAATTCCTGAAAAAGTTAAACACAGAATTATTACATGATTCAACAATTCCACTTTTGGGTATATACCCCAAAGAAATGAAAGCAGAGACTCAAACAGCTATTTGTACACCCATTTTCATAGCACTATTATTCACAATAGCCAAAAGGTGGAAGCAACCCAAGTCCATCAATGGATGAACAAATGTGGTATACACATATGATGGAATATAGGAGGAAAATTCCGGCATGTGTTATGACATGGATGAACCTTGATTACATTATGCTAAGTGACATAAGCCAGGTATAAGAGACAAATAATACATAATTTTGCTTATATGAGGTAACTAGAGTAGTCAAACTCAGAGACAAAGTAGAATGGTGGTTTCCAGGAGCTGGGGAAGAAGGGAATGGGGAGTTGTTTAATGGGTTATTAAATGGGTACAGAGTTTACAAGATGAAAAGACTTCTGGAGATTGACTGCATAACAATGTGAATGTATGGGATGTCACAGAACTGTACACATTAAAATGGTAAATTTGATGTTATATGTATTTTACCACAATAAAAAAATGGACTTGGAAATGAGTAAGTATTGAAAATAGAATCCCAGTCATTACGATGAAGATATAGGTCACTGTTCAGGTGCAGAGGGAAGGGGAAACTACTGCGTTATTTTTATATGTGCTTTATTGCTTTATATTGTACCTGGATTTCCAGCTCAGCGATGTGCTGCTGTAGTTCAGCGACAGCAGCTATGCTATCTGCCTCCCGGAGTCTCACAGCCATCACTTCTTCCTTGTTCTAAGGTGGCAAACGCAACAGAAATAAACCATATAAACCAAACCAGTGATAAGCCAGTAATAAAAAAGCACTTATAACCTTCCTCAAATTTGAAAAATAACAAATAGACTCATAATTGAGAGAAAAATGTCATTATCTTCTGAACTTGATATGAAATGAAGAATATATAGCATTCCATCTTTAAATATTAAGAAATAAAACTCATATAAACACTGCTTAAAATGTAAAAACCAACCAAAAATTAACTTAGTTAAATAAAATTATTAAAATTACTGGTGATTTAAAAAAGCTGGTAGTTTTTTTTTTTTTTTAGAAATAAGAGAATATCTTTATTGTGCTGAAGTAATTAAATATTTGTGGACATCTTCTGACAAATGTGCCATTTCTTTTCCCCCAAAATTGCTTTATATTCTCAGACAATCTGTTGGTATTTAACATTGTTGACTGACTTCCAAACATAACTATGTAAAACATATATACACATACAACTACATACATTGTATCTTTTAAAAGTTATGACTCTCCTGAGTAGAAGCAGTTTAATAATAATAGATGTATAGAGCATGTGCTGTGAATGCTGAAAAACAAATACAGTTTCTTTCTAAATGTCATTTGTGAGAACCTGAAAAGGAAAAAGAGCTTTACAAATGCAAACCGTTGCTGAATGTATACCACCAGTGTTTGGCACACAGTGGGTTCTCGGTGATCAGACCTGTGTAAGGTCTACTTGTGATGTGACTCAAAAGCATGTTTCTGCTGATTTAAATTTTGATGACAGTGTGCACATATGAGAAGTTCAGAAAAGTTCTTGTCTCTGCCACCTTGTAAGGAGAAGTGCTTTACTGTTTTTTAAATTTTTTTATTATTTTGGTATTGTTAATGTACAATTACATGAACATTATGGTTACTAGACTCCCCTTATTGTCAAGTCCCCACCACATTACTTTACTGTTTTGGAAACAGAAATTAGCTAGAAAAATCACATAATTAAAACTGCATACTTTACAAGAGTACCAAGGGGACTATTTCAGTTTATTATTCAGAGTCTGATGATTATTATAGGAGGTTCTTCATCTGCCCTTAAGTACTTTGTCTTTAAAGTACTTTATAATTTAAAAAATTCTTACAGCACTTTTTCTGATCTAACTTGGGCTTCCTCTCCGTCCCCCCAGTTTCCTTTGTTTTTTTTTTTTTTTTTTTTTTT